GCCAAACTATAAAAGGGGGGACTACACAGGTATGAGAAACTTCCTGCAGGAGGTTCAGTGGACAGAAAAATGGTAGGAAAATCAGTAAACGAGATGATGGAATATGTGGCAACAAAGTGCAAGGAGGCAGAGGAAAGTTTTGTTCCCAAGGGAAACAGAAATAATAGGAAGACCAAAACGAGTCCTTGGTTTACCCGAAGGTGTAGGGAGGCAAAAACTAAGTGCAACAGAGAATGGAAAAGGTACGGGAGGCATAGGACCCAGGAAAAAAGGAGATTGTAGAAGAGCCAGAAACGAGTATGCACAGTAAGGAGGGGGCCCAGCGACAGTTTTGAAAACGACATAGCATCGAAAGTCAAATCTGACCCGAAACTGCTGTATACCCAAACTTGGGAGGAAGACAACAGTCAAGGGGACCGGGTGATAAGGCTGAGGAAAGATGGTGGAGAACTCACAAAAAAACGATCAAGAGGTATTGAGGAGCCAACACGGATTTAAGGAAGTATTTACAGTAGAGACAGGAAGGACTCTGGGGGGACAGACCAGATGGGGAACCCCAGCAAGGAATAAAACCAACAAGTGTTGGACGACTACATACAGATGAGGAGGAGGTGAAGAAACTGCTAAGGGACATCGATACCTCAAAGGCAAGGGGGACCGGACAACATCTCCCCGTGGGTCCTTAGAGAGGGGCAGATATGTTGTGCGTGCCACTTACCACAATCTTCAACACGTCCCTGGAACTGGGCAATACCTGGGGTATGGAAGACGGCAAATGTAGTTCCCATTTTTAAAAAAGGAGACAGAAAAAGGCACTAAACTATAGACCTGTGTCATTGACATGTATAGTATGCAAAATTATGGAGAAGAGTATCAGGAGGGAGTGGTGGAGCACTGGAACGGAACAAGAGTATAAATCCCAAACCAGAAACGGATTCACGGAAGGCAAATCCTGTTTTCACAAACCTTCTGGAGTTTATGATAAAATAACAGAAGTAAGACACGAGAGAGAGGGGTGGGTTGTGTTGATCTTCTTTGGACTGCAAGAAAGGCCTTTGACACAGTTCCTCACAAGAGATTAGTGCAGAAGCTAGAGCATCGGCGCATATAACAGGAAGGGCACTGCAATGGATCAGAGAATTTCCCTGACAGGGAGGCAACAAAGGGTCAGGTACGTAATGATGTATCACAGTGGGCACCTGTGACGAGCGGGTCCCACAGGGGTCGGTCCTAGGACCAGTGCTATTTTTGGTTAGGGTGAACGACATGATGGAAGGGTTGACTCAGAAGTGTCCCTGTTGCAGATGATGTGAAGTTAATGAGGAGAATTAATCTGATGAGGACCAGGCAGGACTTCAAAGAGACCTGGACAGACTGGACACATGGTCCAGCAAATGGCTTCTCGAATTTATCCTGCCGAATGCAAAGTCATAAAGATAGGGGAAGGGCACAGAAGACCACAGACAGAGTATAGGCTAGGTGGCCAAAGACTGCAAACCTCACTAAGGAGAAAGGGATCTTGGGGTGAGTATAACACCGAGCAGTCTCCGGAATTTACACATCAAACAGAAACTGCTGCAGCATATGGGCGCCGGCAAACCTGAGAACAGCTTTCCCGATACCTTAGTAAGGAAATCGTTCAAGACACGTACACCGTGTATGTCAGGCCCATACTGGAGTATGCAGCACCTGTTTGGGAAAAACCCGCACTTGATAAAGCACGTCAAGAAACTAGAGAAGTACAAAGGTTTGCGACAAGGTTAGTTCCAGAGCAAAGGGGGAATGTCCTATAAAAGAAAGATTAAGGGGAAATCGGCCTGACGACACTGGAGGACAGGAGGGTCAGGGGAGACATGATAACGACATATAAAATACTGCGTGGAATAGACAAGGGGACAAAGACAGGATGTTCCAGGGAGGGGACACAGAAACAAGAGGCACAATTGGAATTTTGAAGACACAATGAGTCAGAGAGATATTAAGGAAGTATTTCTTTCAGTCATAGAGTTGTAAGGCAGTGGAATAGCCTAAAAATGACGTAGTGGAGGCAGGAACCATACACAGTTTTAAGACGAGGTTTGATAAAGCTCCATGGAGCGGGGGGGAGAGAGGGCCAGTAGCAACCGGTGAAGAGGCGGGCCAGGAGCTAAGACTCGACCCCTGCAACCACAAATAGGTGAGTAAAACACACACACACACACACACGCCAGGAGCTAAGACTCGACCCTGCAACCACAAATAGGTGAGTAACACACACACAAAACACACAAAACACACACACACCACAAAACACACAAAACACACACACACACACACACACACACAACACACATACACATACACACACGAGGGCGCACGCACAGGCACATGCACACGAGCATACAAATATATGCATACACACAAGCACGCACACACACACACACACACACACACACACACACACACACGCGCGCGCGCGCCAGGAGCTATGACTCGACCCCTGCAACCACAAATAGGTGAGTACAAATAGGTGAGTACGACATGATGGAAGGAATAGACTCTGAAGTGTCCCTATTCGCAGATGATGTGAAGTTGATGAGAAGAATTAAATCGGATGAGGATGAGGCAGGACTGCAAAGAGACCTGGACAGACTGGACATGTAGTCCAGAAACTGGCTTCTCGAATTCAATCCTACCAAATGCAAAGTCATGAAGATTGGGGAGGGGCAAAGAAGACCGCAGACAGAGTATAGGCTAGGTGGACAAAGACTACAGACCTCACTCAGGGAGAAAGACCTTGTGGTGACCATAACACCGAGCACGTCACCGGAGGCACACATCAATCAAATAACTGCTGCAGCATACGGGCGCCTGGCAAACCTGAGAATAGCGTTCCAATACCTTAACAAGGAATCGTTCAAGACACTGTACACTGTGTATGTTAGGCCCATACTGGAGTATACAGCACCAGTCTGGAACCCACACCTGGTCAAGCACGTCAAGAAGTTAGAGAAAGTACAAAGGTTTGCAACAAGGCTAGTCCCAGAGCTCAGGGGAATGTCATACGAGGAAAGGTTGAGGGAAATCGGACTGACGACACTGGAGGACAGAAGGGTCAGGGGAGACATGATAACGACATACAAGATACTGCGTGGAATAACCAAATTTCTGTAAACTCAGCATTGTAATCCTTATAGAGAATAAACTTTGAATTGAATTGAATTGAATAGACATGGTGGACAGAGATAGGATGTTCCAGAGAGGGGACACAGAAACAAGGGGTCACAACTGGAAGCTGAAGACTCAGACGAGTCACAGGGACGTTAGGAAGTATTTCTTCAGTCATAGAGTCGTCAGGAAGTGGAATAACCTAGCAAGTGAAGTAGTGGAGGCAGGAACCATACATAGTTTTAAAAAGAGGTATGGCAAAGCTCAGGAAGCTGAGAGGGAGAGGACCTAGTAGCGATCAGTGAAGAGGAGGGGCCAGGAGCTGAGATTCGACCTCTGCAACCACAATTAGGTGAGTACAATTAGGGGAGTACACACACACACAGGCCTACAGTGTAGCGGGTCACAAGCACCAGGCTCCGAGAATCTTAGTGTTTTTAGGGCGTGCTTTAGCAGCTAGAAGCAACCAGTGTTAGTGACAACGTCAGTGAACAAACCTACAAGTGAAGAAATATACACATCTCATTGTTATTGTTTTATATTTCTCACTCAGTGGTTCCTTACCTTCATCCACACCTTTGTTCAGTTTTGATATATGGATAAATATATGTGGCACAGTATCAGGTGGGAAAGAATGTTGTAGCTGACAGCTGGAGATAAGACAACCTACCTCCGTGACTCCTTGTTCCACATCACTAGTCATAAGGAAACTTACCGTCATGACATCTTGTTCTGCACCATAACGACATAGGTAACCGTAAGTCGATTTGCAAGTGCACTCAGCTCACAAATCCACTGAGTCCGGGGGTCGATCCATGGTACGGGTGGAAACATTAGGATGTTGTAAGAAATTACGCTAATGAAGTTTTACAAGTACACAGTCTTGAATTAACCTTTCACCTACATAAGTGAGCAGAACTCTGACACATCTGATATTGCTGTACCCTGGGGACATGGGGCACTTTAACCCCACCAAGTGAAATCATAAAGATTGGGAAAGGTTAAAGAAAACCGCAGACCAAGTACACGCAAGAGGGCCAAAGACTGCAAACCTCACTTAAGGAAAAGGATCTTGGGGGTAAGTATAATACCGAGCACATCTCCTGAGGCGCACATCAACCAAATAACTGCTGCAGTATATGAAGCTGGCAAACTTAAGGAATCGTTCAAGACTCTGTATACCATGTACGTCAGCTCATATTAAGACTTATTCACACAGTAACAAAAAAATACTGGGAACTCACACCTACTACTACTGTCTAGAAAGCCGCTTGTTATACAGAGCATTTCAGGCAATTGTCAGTTTTGTCCCAAGATGCGACCCACACGAGTCGACTAACACTCAGGTACCCATTTTACTGATGGGTGAACATAGACAACTGGTGTTAAGAAACACCCCCAATGTGTGCCCGGGAATCGAACCCGGACACTCGCCGTGTGAAGCGAGAACTTTAACCACCAGGCCACGGGGCACCTGGTCAAACAAGTCAAGAAATTATAGAAAGTGCACTAGCACTAGTGCACGGCACTAGAGAACAGGAGGGATAGGGGGGACATGATAACGACATATAAAATACTGAGAAGAATTGACAAGGTATATACGGATGGGATGTTTCAGAGATGTGACACAGCAATAAGGGGTCAAACTGGACGTTGGAGACACATGGGTGACAGGGATGTTAGGAAGTATTTCTTCAGTTATCGAGTTGTCAGGAAGTGGAACAATCTGGAGAGTGGTGTAGTGGAGGCAGGATCCATACATAGCATTAAGAAGAGATACGATAAAGCTCATGGAGCAGGGAGAGAGTGGACCTAGCAGCGACCAGCGAAGAGGCGATGCCAGGAGCTTCAAATCGACCCCTGCAATTACAAATAGGTGAGTACCACACAAAAGAGGCCGTGTCTGCCGACTGTAGACCTTTGAAAAATGCTATTGTTCGCGACTCGAGCCCTGCGATCACAAATAGGTGAGTGCACGCACACAACACACACACACACACACAAGCAGAAAAAACAGGAAAGGCACTGCAATGGATCAGGGAATACCTGGCAGGAAGGAAACATCGAGTGATGATACGTGACGAGGTGACAGAGTAGGCGGGGTTCTACAAGAATCAATCCTAGGGCCGGTACTGTTTCTGGAATATGTGAATGACATGGAAGGGATAAATTCAGAGGTGTCTCTGTTTACAGACGATGTGAAGGTAATGAGGAGAATTCAAGCGGAAGAGGATCACTTAGGACTACAAAGGGATCTGGACAGGCTGCAAGCCTGGTACAACAATTGGCTCCTGGAGTTTAACTCCTCCAAGTGCAGTCATGAAGACTGGGGAAGGTCAAAGAAGACAGCAGGCGGAGTACACGCTAGGGGACCGAAAGCTGCAAACCTCACTCGAGAAAAAGGCTCTTCGCATGAGAAACCTAAGAATAGCATTTCGACACTTTAGTAATGCGTCATTCAAGACACTACATCACGTACGTCAAGCCTATATTGGAGTATGCAACAAAAGTATGGAACCCATACCTTGTCAAACATGTTAAGAAATTAGAGAAAGTGCAAAGGTTTACAGCAAGACTAGTCCCAGAGCTAAGGAATATGTCCTACGAGGAGAGGTTAAGGAAAATCAGCCTGACAACACTGGAGGACAGGAGGAATAAGGGAAACATGATAAATAAACTGAGAGGAACTGGCAAGGTGGACAGGGACAGGATGTTTCAACAACAAGGGGTCACAACTGGAAGATGAAGATGAGTCACAGGAATGTTAGAAAGAATTATTTCAGTTATAGAATTGACAGGAAGTGGAACATTATGGAGTGTGATGTAGTTAAGCCAGGATCCATACGTAGTTTAAAGAAGAGGTGTGATAAAGCTCATGGAGCAGGGAAAGAGTAAATTAGTATCGACCATTGAAGAGGCCGGGCCAGGAGCTATGAATCTACTGCAACCACATATAGGTGAGTACTTATAGGTGAGTACACACACCACACATAACAGGCGAAGTGTTTGCCGACTGTAAACCAGTGCTTTTGACAAATGCTATTTTATATAATTTCGCCCGTTTGAGAATTTTTAAGCATGCATATATATATATATTATTAATTATTATATATATATATATATATATATATATATATATATTATATATATATATATATATATATATATATATATATATATATATATATATATATATATATATATATATATATATATATATATATATATATATATATATAATATAATATATATTATTAAAAAGTCATTTACATAAGGGTATTCCCATAATGTGACGTGAGTATTTTTAATAAAAAATAATTAAATCATCACATACCAACCTTGTGTTGCTCTACTGAGATGAAACTATAAATATACTGTATGTAAAACATTTTTATCATTGATTTTAATTTAAAGAAACATTATCTATATACTTATGTTTCTGTCTGTGTAGTTGCCTGTTATTGCTAATATAATGTTCCCTCTTGGCTGGTTAAGTACCTTTATTTAGGTACAGGTACACATAAGTACAATTATCATACCTGGTAACATATACTCACCTTACTTACTTACCTAATTGTGGTTGTAGAGGTTGATTCACAGCTCCTGGCCCCGCCTCTTCGCTACTAGGAGTAAATTACCTGGGATAACCCAAAATAAAAAAAAAGTCAAAGTGACTCATTGCTTTCCCAGTAAAATTTCTATATTATCAATATTATATATATCACAGTGTGTCTTCCCTGATCAATATAACATCCACATTATTTTACAAGGTCAGAACAATAACTTTTTTTCCAGTGTGTCAGGAGATGATCAGTAACGTCACAGCTGCTCAACACTACATACTCAGACTTCCATGTCTGATGTGACAAGGTAATTTTGATGTGATTTGTAGAATATTTGAGTGATATATGTGTCTGGTGGGTCGAGTGTGATGTACATACAGTTTTCCTGAGACATAATTGTTATTAGAGAGGAGAGAGTGAATGCTGGTTGAGCACTACACCTCCTGCTGGTAAATAATACTTTCTCTAACATAATTTAGAAGTTATTTGCGCTGTTGATGACTAATGAACTGTTATATTGTATTTAGGGAACTGCTTAATGAGTAATAAAGAGGAAATGTATTGATACAATGATCTATTGTCAAAATTTTGTGTTTATGTATACATAATTTAAACGCGTTTTTTTTTTTTGTTGCCTGTTTTCCAGTAATTAAGATAGTTGATAATATCACACTAAATCAGTTTAACATGAAAAATGCATTTAATATACGTATAGTTATGTCCTCTTATTAAGTAATATTCTTGTATACTGTTATATTATACATGTTATGGACATATATCCACACCTCTCAAAAAGTTCCCTAATTGGTTGTTTTATTTATTTTAAGCTGGATACAGAGCTACAGTATTACAGGACATTAATAAAGTAACTTTTATTTATAATCATAAACTGCAATGTTGTGTAGTGCTTTTAAATATAAATGTGACATTCTGTGATGACTTAACCTAGAATAGTCTGCAGAAATCCTTCAGATGGATTTGGATATTTTTTTTTCCTTGTGATATTTGCATTATCCTAATCTCATAGTTGGTTTTAAGTAAATGTTGATGTAGGAGAGTAGAATGTTTGCTGTTGAGTCTTGTAGTGAAATTTATTATCCTGTCATGATAGTGGTGCTCATGTGAAAGAAACTCCAGTTCTGCTGTGAAGATTCTGTAATTTATTTAGGCACAAGTACACATATAAGTACAATTATCGTAAGTAGTGTAAATTGTCTAGTTCTGTTGGGGGTTCTTGTATGACCCTTGTAGGTTTAATGTGTAGTTTTGATTGATTTGCTGTAAATATTTTTTTTTATATACACATCGGCTGTTTCCCACCAAGGCAGGGTGGCCCGAAAAAGAAAAACTTTCATCATCACTCACTCCATCACTGTTTTGCCAGAGGCATGCTTGCACTACAGTTATAAAACTGCAACATTAACACCCCTCCATCAGAGTACCTGCACTGTACGTCCCATCACCAGGAATCAAGTCCGGCCTGCCAGCTTATCTTGCAACAGCACGTCAAGTCCTAAAAACCATTTATCTCTATTTGCTCCTATCTAACATGCTCACGCACACTTGCTGTAACTCCAAGCCCCTCGCACACAAAACCTCCTTCCTTCCTCCAACCTTTCCTAGTCTGACCCCTACCCCGCCTTCCCTCCACTACAGATTTATACACTCGAAGTCATTCTATTTCGCTCCATCCTCTCTACATGTCCATTTGCTGTAAATATAATAATAATAATATCTTTATTTTCTACGAGTACAATGTACAAGGTGTACAGGCCTAGCTGACAGTAATAACATACTATAGCACTTATAGAAAACCCTTTTTATGCTGAGTATTTCAGGAAATTAGATCAATTTTTGTCCCAGGATGCAACCCACACCAGTCGACTAACACCCAGGCACCCTCTTTCATGATGGGGTCAGCGCCCCTGCGGCTCCATCTGAAACCAGGCCTCGTGGTGGATCAGGGTCTGATCAACCAGCCTGTTACTGCCAGCTGCACACAAACTGATGTATGAACCACAGTTCGGTTGATAAGGTACTGGCTTTAGGTGCCTGTCCAGTTCCTTCTTGAAGACAGCCAGGGGTCTATTGGTAATCCTCTTTATGTATGCTGGGAGGCAGTTGAACAGTTTTGGGCCCCAGACACTTAGTGCATTGTCTCTCAATATACTCGTGGCACCCCTGCTTTTCATCAGGGAAATGTTGCATCTCCTGCCAAGTCTTTTGCTTTCATAGGGAGAGATTTTTGTGTGCAGGTTTGGTACCAATCCCTCCAGGACCTTCCAAGTGTATATTGTCATGTATTCTCTCTGGCCTGCATTCCAGGGAATACTGATCAAGGACCTTCAACTGTTCCCAGTAGTTTAGGTGCCTTATCGTACTTGTGTGTGCTGTGAAAATTCTTTGTACGCTCTCCATGTCTGCAATGTCGCCAGCCTTAAAGGGGGCTGTTAATGTACAGCAGCATTCCAGCCTAGAGAGAACAAGCGATTTGAAGAGTGCCATCATGGGCTTTGCGTCCCTAGTTTTGAAGGTTCTCATTATCTATCCTATCATTTTCCTAGCCAATGAGGTAGATACATTGTTGTGGTCTTCGAAGGCGAGATCCTCTGACATTATCACTCCCAGGTCCTTCACATTTCTTTTTCTCTATTGCATGGTTAGAATTTGTTGTATACCCTGATACATTTTTAATTTTCTCAAGTTTTCCATGTCTGAGTAGTTGAAATTTCTCCTCATTCAACTTCGCATTGTTTTAAGTGGCCTATTTGAAGATTTGGTTGATGTCCACTTGGAGTCTTGCAGTGTCTTCGATGTAGGTCGCTGCCATGGCAACTGGGTGTCATTCGTAAAGGAAGACACGGAGCTATGACTTACATCTCTGTCTGTCAGAAATGAGGATGAGGAATAGAATGGGAGCGAGTACTGTGCTTTGTGGAACAGCTTTTCACCGTGGCTGCCTGGGACTTTACTATGTTTACTAGTACTCTTTGTTCTATTTGTCAGGAAGTTACAGATCCACCTACCAACTTTTCCTGTTATTCCTTTATCACGCTTGGTCACACTTGTCGAAAGCTTTCGCAAAGTCTGTGTATGAACATGTGGGTGAACATGGACAACAGGTATAAGGAAACAGGCCTAATGTTTCCACCCTTCCTGGGAATTGAACCACTGACTCTCAGCATGTGAAGCAAGAGCTTTTGCCACCAGGCCATGATTTTTGATGTTAAACTAATATAGCGAAGTTACATAAGCAACCATCCAGTATGATGTAGCTCTTAGGTAACCATTTATTTTATTTTGTACTTAGCTTGTTCTCTAATCTTGTAATGAACATAATTTTATAATATAATAATACCTATAAAATGCATCGGGCATAAAGATGCATCTTATATTAGTTTTAGTGGTTAATAAATTGCTGTATTTGACCAAGTTACTTCCATTACTCTAGTGTAATAGACCAATTCATGGTTAAAGTTGAGGAGGATCCTGCAGGAGATAAGGCAGAAAGTTTATATGCAGAGTCTGAATTCCTTTTATTATGGGATTGAGATGTTCTTTGTCTCTTTTATCTCTTCATTTCCATGGCTGTTGTAATAATAAAATCTGTAGAATTATTTTACCCACAGTTTTTGTGCTATTTTTTTTTTAGGTACTGTATATAATCATAATATGAAATGATTTTGGACTTCAATAAAATTTAACAGTTTGTCATTGCCCCTTCTCATTTTGTCCCTTCACTTTGCACTTGCAGAGGCTTTTTATCTATCTAGTATCTTTTTTCTTCTTCCCCTCCCCAATCCACCATGGGAAATCTCTGTAGTCCAAAATCTTGCTTCTCTTTGCATGGGTACTTGCTCTTGATAATTTCCTAACGTGCTACTGTTGCATTTACACAGGACTCTGTCTTCCTTGATAGTGATCCTGTACATAGTTATTTAAGTTTTGACTCGCAAAATCGTAATGACACAATTGCAAACAAACCATACTACAGGCGGGATAGAACCCGCGATCAGAGAGTCTCAAAACTCCAGACCATCATGTTAGACACTGGACCAGCTAGCCACAATAAGATTCGTCCAACTAGGTATATTTCTGCACCATAGGAAGGTTAGCATAGGCACCACTGTGACCACAAATGCAAGTTTTTACAGATGAATCTCCAGCTAGCATGGCCGTGACGAACTCTAGCTCAAGTCCCCTCAAAGCCATTAACATGACCCATGAAATCGTAGTGAAACGATTGCAAACAAACCATACCACGGGTGGGGATAGAACCCGTGATCAGAGTCTCAAAACTCCAGACCGTCGCGTTAGCCACTGGACTTGCATTTGTGGTCACAGTGGTGCCTATGCTAACCTTCCTATGGTGGAGAAATATACCTAGTTGGACGAATCTTATTGTGGCTAGCTGGTCCAGTGTCTAACGTGATGGTCTGGAGTTTTGAGACTCTCTGATCGGGTGTTCTATCCCCGCCCGTGGTATGGTTTATTTAAGTTTTTCGTGTGTCATCTGATGATTGATGCAGTCTAGTATTTTTTTCACAGCTGAATTGTATGTTCTTCTTGCTGCTGTTATCTACATTCTTTCCATGTCTTCCTTATTTGCTGTAGTCTTAGAAATTCGAATAATACAAATTTTTAATTCTTCGCATTATCTTACTCTTTGTGTTCAGTGCTGACTGAACACATTTTCACATGACATACAAGGATTGTTTTTTACTGGACACATTCTGTAATTCAGATGCATACAATCTCTCACAGATAGTTATCCATTTCCTCTTATCTATTTAGCTCAGAATTTGAGAAGCCATGAGCGATAGAATATCAGTGGTCTCATAACAGTTAAGCTTCTTAGCCACTGACTCATTGATCACATGTGTATTATGGCCTATATAAGCAAATAAAGGCATTTCAATTGCTTGGAATGCCTAGGTCTAAGGATGAGTCCTAATATGATACTAACTGAAGTGAGAGTAGAGAGGAGAGATATAGAGAGAGAGAGATTATAGAGAGAGAGAGATAGAGAGATTGAGAGAGATATAGAGAGAGAGAGTATAGAGAGAGAGAATATAGAGAGAGAGATTATAAGGAGAGAGATCATAAGAGAAGAGATAATAGAAGAGATGCATATATTAGGAGTAGATATATAGATGAGAGAGATATATAGAGAGAGAGATTATATAGGAAAGATATATAGATGAGAATTGATATAGTTATAGTAAGATATAGAGATGATGAGAGAGATATAGAAGAGAGAGAGATATATATAAGAGAGATGAGAGTAGATATATAAGATAGGATATA